CTGGTACTGGAAACCTAGCTCACTAGCTATGGTCACTGAAGTCGTGGGCCTTGGGGAAGAACCTACCACCAGTTCGTTATAAGCTGCACAATTACTAACTGCATCCTAAATATTTGTTCTTATAGCAACAGATCAGTAGTCTTCCTCCCTCATCAAGAACATTTTCCCTTGCAATAGATGCAGACCATTACAAAAAAATTGCACAACCACTCAAAATGCAGAGTTGTGGAGCCCAGTGCAAATGAGTACATCTACAAAACAGTTTCTGCACTCAAGAAAGGTCGCTGAAGAGGGGGTGGAAAGATCGTAAGAGCTAGAGGATCAGGGAGCTTGCAGTGAGACTTCATCTCCTGATAATGTCAGAAACTATGTCCATGCACTCTCACCTAAACACCAGCTGAAGAAAGGCAACAATAGACATGCCATATTGGACAGGAAAAAGCCTGTGAGGCCTCAACCGTACACAAAGAACTACAGGTAACTAAGAAATCTGAGAGTGGGAGAAACCAACTGATTATCTAATACCAAATGGTCAGCACTGAAAAGCCATATACAAGTAGCACTGTAAGACTGGGTTGGTTATACTTAGGAATATAGAAGTATATTCATAACAACAATTAAAGAAATAAGAGGCCATGCATTGGAAAGAGAAAGGGAGTATATAGGAGGGTTGAGAGGAAGGAAAGGGAAGGGGAAATTATCTAGTTATGTTACAGTCTCAAAAATAAAAGAACTTAATACATCTACACAAGTAATATATTTCTTTTTTTTTAATGTTTTTTTCGAGACAGGGTTTCTCTGTGGCTTTGGATCCTGTCCTGGAACTAGCTCTGTAGATCAGACTGGTCTCGAACTCACAGAGATCCACCTGCCTCTGCCTCCCGAGTGCTGGGATTAAAGGCGTGCGCCACCATTGCCCGGCTTCAAGTAATATATTTCTACACTAAAGTTGAGAGGCATATGTTGGACATATGCCATTCCAAATGGGAAATTACAAGAAAACTGACTTATATCCACCAAATTTCCAGACTTCTGATGAACTAACACCACTGTGTTCTAAACATTCTAAAGCTCAAAACAATTCTGAATTTTAATATAGTATTGTATTTATTCTTTCATATTATGTATTGATATATTTACCCCCTCTTTCACTGGGGGGGGGGTCCTCCACAGTCCATTCCTAACTTTACTACCTCTCCAAACTTCATGTCCACTTTTTAAATATCTCATAGACTCCATATAATTATGGTTCTTGAACCATCCACTAGAGTGTGGTAGATCTATCAGGGTTCATATCTTTAAATAAAACTAATTCTTTCCCCATGAAGCGAGAAACTGTTCATAGCTCCTCAGTTAGGGGGGTTCATGAGTCCCCTCTCTCCTCTATATTAGCATGTTGACTGGTTGATCTTGTTCAGGTCTTGTCAGGCAGCCTTAGCATTGTGGATTCATGAATGCAGTGGTCCTATCATGTTCAGAAGACATGATTTTAGCATAATCCCAAGATTCAGAGACCATCTTTGCAGGGAGAGAGAAGGGGCACAGAAAGATTTTAAAAACTGGAAGTTGAGGATCCAAGCAGCATCTCTGTTTTGATGCTTTATTCACTGGGCACACAGAGAATGCCAACTCCCCTGGAGCCACGGTTAAGGAGGGACTGCTTCCTGTAGCTAGAGTTATACTTTGAAAAATCAAAAAGATGGTGGTGCAGACTCCAGGTCACATGCCTCTAGGCTTGTGGTGCCAAGAGGTAGGTGTGTTGGTATTTGATCACACTGAGAGTCATTCTTTTCTCTCCACAAGCTTCAAATGCACTTATAAATAAATAAATCAGTTCAGTTTCTGTCATTTTATCACAGAAGTGAGGCAGCCCTACCTCATCTCAGTCTTCTGCTTAGGTGACTTTCTTTCTTTCTTGTGTAATCCATTGAGCTTAATTACATTTGTTTGAATGAATATTAGTCAGGGGGATTAGTTATTGGAACATGGCCAATTTATAAGCCACTCTCAACCCTTAAATGTCCACAAGCCTCCATGAAAGTGGGGTCTCACTGAGGTCTTTGATCCACATGGATTTTACTTTTGTGTAGCATGAGAGACAGGAACCTAATAGTATTCTTTTGCATGTAGACTTTCTGTTTTTCCTTTTCTTAGGTGTATTTTTTTGCCTTTTTGGTTTTTATTGTTTTTTGTTCTGTTTTTCTTTTTCGTTGTGGTTATGAGACTAAGTGGAGAAGGAGGAGCTTTTCACTGTTGGTGGGGTACATACTGGTGCCCCCATTCAGGATCAGTGTGGAGAATCCTCAAGAAGCTAAAAACAAATCTACCAAACCACCTGGCTATAGCCCTCCTGAGCATGTGCCCAAAGGACTCAGCATCCTACCCCACAGTTACCTACTCATTCATGTTCATAGTGACCCTATTTACAATAGCTTAGAACTGGAAAAACCTTAAATATCAATTCTTCAAAAGAAGAATGAATAATGAAAATGTGTTGCATATGCACAATGGAAAGCTATTCAACTATAAAAAAGTAAAACCATGATATTTGAAGGTAAATGGATAGACCTAGAAAAGATTATATTGAGTGAGGCAGTCCAGACCCAGAAAAACAAACATTGTACATCTTCTGTAGTTCCTAGCTCCAAATATTGTAAGTATACAACATGTAGTAACTGCAGTAACCAGAAAAGTATAAAGGGATCATAGGTGGAGGTTGGGGAGGGGTTGAGAGGTAGAAAGAGATAATTATATAACGTGAGAAATGAAAAGATGGGGAGGGGACTCCAGAGGAGAGGAGTGGTGGGGAGAGAGGTCAATGTATCTGAGAAGAAACAAGGGACAAATAACACCAAGGTTGTTTGATAATGCCTCAAGAAATCAATTTATTTTATATTTACCTAAAATTATACAATTTATGTATACATATATATGTTGCTTAAAGGAAGTTAAACTGCTTTGGGTTGACCATGCTACCCATAAAAATCATCTAATAAGAAAACCCCAGTACCAGACATGAAACGCTTCTTAATAATGGTTGGTCAGGTTATTCCAAGAAACTTCCAAAATAATATAAACTATTGATGTTACCTTGGTTACAACAATATAAACTATTGATGTTTCCTTGGCTACCTATCAGAGGTTGATAGCAGAGCAAGCCACTGCACACCTAGGATGAAGGACTCAGACGATCTGAAAAGCCTCTTTCCTTAGGCCTTCTTCACCTCCATGGTACCAGGAAATACCATGTGGATTGCCAAGGAAGGGAAGCAGCTGTACTGTTCTACCAGCTGCAGCACCTAAGAACCACGGTGGTAACGAGCATGGCACGGGATCTGCTGAAGGTGCAGCAAGTGATGCTCACATGCTGGTTGTAGCCCACGTGTGTCTAATTGGACTTAAGCTCACTCTACAGGAGAAAAACCATGTCTGGTTCTGAGAACTTAGGCAACTTCCTAGGCCTAGTGAGGTCATAGAACTTAGACAAGACTCAGTTACCCCCACTTTGCTAGACCTGTGTAAGTCCTCTCGGGCTTACCCTTACACCCACAGATAAGTGTAGCTACCACACCTCATCAAACAAGCCTGTCTCAACAGATGGAGACTGTCCCAGAAACCACCACAACTGGAAACAGTGCAGAGATCAGTGGAACTTGGGAGTCCCATCCACAAAAGTTACTGCACTTAAGGCTCAGGGAACATTGGAGAAGAGGAGGCAAAAAGGTTGCATGAAGAAGTCTGCAGTGAAAGAGTATCTACTAGAAATGGTTTCATAAACAAGACAAAACAATGGCAGTATCAGTGGACATATTAATATTAAAGGGGGAGATTTCACAGGACCCATCCCTAAACAAGGAACTAAGGAAACTGATGACTCCTTGGATAGAAGAATTAGTCTACCCCAGGGATGAGCCTCCTAATTGGTTGTACAAATCAGACTGTTCAGCTCAACAACCACATTCATACAAACAACAAACATAGACTCAGTAAGTTGTATTTATATATTTATGAGCATATATGCATACTCAAAAACAGTAATCAAATATAAATATGATATCAACTTGAGAGTTTGGGAGACATGGGAGATTGGAAGGAGGGTATCTGGAAGGGGATGGAGAGAAAGGGGGGAGGGGAAAATGATAAAATTTTATTTCAGTCGAAAATATGTGTTTTTGAAAAAGCAAATGAAGTCAGATAGGATCTCTTTATTAGTGAGCATTGGTGTGAGGATGCGCCCAGGTAAGAAAGCCTTAGGGGCAGCAGTATGAGTGGATCAAGAGCATCTAGGACGGCAAGGGAGTCGGCATCTTGAAGACATCACGGTCCACAGAGGTCAGGCGACTCCTCTGGAGAGAGGACATAGATAGGCATGCACAAGAGTGAAAACCAGCAGACAGGAAGTGAGTGTGGCCAGGTCCCTTGTCTGCTTGGACCAAATTATGGCCATTTGGAGCCACGACTGGTCACTGGGCCCACAGTTCTGTTGCTTTCCTTCCCTTCACACGAAGTGCCCCTTGATGCAAACATGCAGGTGAGATCCTTTTCCTCCCCGGGGGGAAGATTTCTCTCCTGATAGAGCAAACATCCCCTGGAACGGACCCCTCACCACCCTGGTGCCTCCTTTTTCACAGTTCCCGCATCACAAACAGGGATGGTTCTTAGGACTCATTTACTGCCTTTATTCACAAAGATGAAGCAAAACCCCATGGATCAGTTGTCTCTATAGGATAAGGGAACCCTATATGGGATGGAAGAACACTAATTGGTATGTGAAACAAAAGCACTCATGCTTTGTAACAACGTAGCAAGAAAGTGAGCCATATCCATGGAAAGCATAAGAAGTTACAAAAATACATCTTAAATTTACATGATCTTCTAAGTGCTGTGTGTTCAGAGCAGAATAGCTGCACATGTGCAAAATAAATGTAGAAGAGACTCACTAAGAAGAGGAATTTGAGACACACAGAGAGCTCAGGTAGCTTGCTCTGCCTCTGCCGGGTGCTTGCTTCACAGAGAATGGAGCTCAGCTCCACACACTTTGCTGTCAGCACATCCATTGCTGTGGGCCTCACTACCAATCTCACACTGGGCCCAGGCAGTCCTCTGTGTTCCACCTACAAACACTGGGTAGGTAGCTCTCCCGCCTGCTGAGACACTTACCTCTAATTGTGTCCTGGCCTTGACCGATAGGGAACGTGTTATTCTGTGAAGGCGTCTTGATACAGGATTAACTCTCCGTTTGGACAGTAGCACGTCTGTTGAGCTTGGTGGAAAGGCTTTGTGGGATGAATTCCACCCTGCAGTTGTCCTTGAAACTGCACAAAATACTCATCATAGCCTTGGAAGTGCTGTCTGAAATACGGAAGGAACTCTGCTGCTCTCTTGGCCCAGCCAAGCCTGCTTTTGAGCCTGTGAACCATTTTATGCTGCTGACGCACTTGGGCCTGGTCTTCATCCAGGGCATGTGCTTTGCCCTTGATTTGCTGAGGAAAGGCTTCCTGGAGAGTTTGTGATGCCTGGGAGGATTTCAGAGGGGCTCTGTGGGATTTCAGCTTGATTTGTGATTTCACCTGGCCTAGGGTCTTGAGCTGGCCTGTTTGGGACTTCACCTGGGCTACGTGGGATTTTACTTGTGTTTGGGATTTTATTTGTGAATGGGACTGAAGTCGGGATTTTTGTTGGCTAATCTTGTCTTCTTCATTACAAGCTATGTCTTCGCTTACACCTGTCTGTTGCTGTGAGCTCTGAGTCTCTCCCAGGTCAGCATCAGCATCCTGGCCATACACACGGTGCTTAGTTTGCTCAAAACTGCTTTCTTCAGCTCCATCCTCCTGTGCTCTTCTGGACCCATACTGGAAATGGTCTTTCTGGAAATATACAACTGGGGACGTTTTTACTAGAAAGTGTCCTTTTGTCTCACCTGGTAATTGATAAAAAGAATGTTTGAGTTACACTGTCTGTACAGCCCCCTCTAGTCTTATCCCAGGATTTTCCCCGTCAACCCACTGAGTTACCCACAAGGCAAGTGGGTTTGGGTGGAGAACAGACAACATCCATCAAGATCACCCCGTGCAGGGTTCTTCTCCCTGCCAGAGCACCCCTGTGGACATTCTCCCTGGTGCCTTCCTGCCAGGCGACTCCCTGCACTCACCGTAGATTCCTATCCCAGCTGCTTGCTTCTCCAGAAGGAGGAGCAGAGAAAGGCTGAAGAAGATGGACTTCATCTCACCAGGAGGGGCCTTCACTGAGAGCTCAGTTGACCATTGCTTTATATGTTGCTTGCTGGGTGCATAGATGTGGCTGGAGTCACAAAAGGCCTTACCCGTTCCCACTTATCTGGCATGCGGCCTCTGCCCTCCTCTCAGTAGGAGATATTGTCAATATTCCTAGAGACCGTAGACACATGATGTCGGAGTCTTTGTCTAACCCCACACGTCCCAGAAAATCTTTATCGCCACCTCAAGATCGTCACATGATGCTTCCAGAAGCAATTCCAGGCAGAGATCACAAGAGTGACCTTGGCCTGTCCAAGCTTTTGTATTTCAAATGTGGGGCCTTGCCCACAGTGCACTTTGTTTCCTGCCGTAGAGCAAACATGATGTGTACTTCTGTTTCTTTCCAATGAGATGGACATGGATCTATTTCATCTCAAAGGGTCTATTCATAGGGATTTTAAAAAAGACATAGGGCGATTTATCCCCAGTGCATGAATTGGCTCTTTGGAGTCCATTCCCTATGGAGGGAAACCTTTCTCAGCCATGGTACAGGGAGGAGGGGTTTGGTCCTGCCTCAACTTGATATGCTAGACATTGTTGACTCCCCATGGGAGATCTTACCCTTTCTTTCTTTTTTTTTTTTAAGATTTATTTATTTATTATGTATACAACATTCTGCCTCGATGTATGCCCACACGCCAGAAGAGGGTGCCAGATCTCAGTACAGATGGTTGTGAGCCACCATGTGGTTGCTGGGAATTGAACTCAGGACCTCTGGAAGAGCAGCTAGTGCTCTTAACCTCTGAGCCATCTCTCCAGCCCCGGTCTTACCCTTTCTGAGGAGTAATGGGAGGTTGCATGAGGGGAAAGTGTGTGTGTGTGGGGGGGGACAGGAGGAGGGAAGGGAGCAGGAACTACTTTTGGTATGTAAAATGGGAAAAAAAAGTAAATAAATTTTTTTAAAAAACTAACCATAGAAAGACATAGGAAAGAAGGCAAATTTAAGGATTCCATAGTCATTTTTAGAAATAACTGAGATACTGATTCACAAAAGCAACTCTAAAATGCCTAGCCTTACTAGTGACCTGTGTGAACATTCCCCGGTGCTTTCTTTCATTAGTAGTTTCTTAGTTCCCCCTCCCTCCTCTCCTACTCCTCACACACTCCACCCCCATCTGCTCCTCAGAGAGGGTGAGGCCTCCCTTGGGAGGTCAGCTAAGCCTGATGAGAGCCCATGAGGACAGTATGGTGGGTCATCACCTGCAGGATGGGAGCCGCAGAGACAAGTGCAGGAGTGCTCTGTGCTCTGTGTGTCCATGGAGCAAGCACTGGGGCTGCATCTCAAGAGGGAAGCTGCAGAGGGCTTTTCAAGTATGGGAGAAATTTACTGTGTTTGGCTAGAGACAGGAATGACTGTGTTTGGTTGGAACAAGGAGAAAGGACCCTGGTTTCCTTATTTCATTATTTTCATGAAATCACCTAAAATCACAGTGCCCTCTCAATGAGGGAAAAGTGTTTTGCAAATGAAAACTTCCGTTGTCAGCTGTGCCTATCGCCACTAGTGGATATGTTAATGTAAGAATTCTAAGACTGTATTGAGACTGGAAACCAAGAGAACCTGTCCACATCCTATAAAAGTGCAGTACCCTACAACTTCGAGAAGACCCCCAATGGTTCGTAAGGCTGGCCTTTAGTTTCCCATGCAGATGCGGTGTGGGAAGAGCACAGTAGAATTAACCATCTCTGCAGAGAGCCTGCATGTTCTCACTGCAGCCTGGCGGGCATCTAAGACAAGGCTTGTGGAAAAAGTCCTTTCAGTCTCTCTATCCCCAAATGTAGTTCACTTAGAAGGATGCTGTGTGGAGGGTTAAGGTGAAGTTCACTTGTGTTTTCATGGGAGGAACGGACATAAAGGTACTCAGTCACCAAACAGAACACGAGGATGCTGGCTTTTATCTAGGAGCTCTGAGCACCTGCTAATCTGACCTCTTTGTTCCAAACTGAAGATAACTGAGTCCTCAGTAGAGATGCCAGTCAAAAGATTTGAAATTACCAAGAAGGCAAATCACTTCCCTTTCTTGCTGACTTCTCCACTACTCCATGCCCTTCCCTTGAGGAAATACCTGCAGGAACTCTTCTCTGGAGAGCTGACTTGGAGAAGAATAAGTTAGAAAATGGATTTTGATCACTGATCAAGAACAGTGTGCATCATGCTCTGTCTACAAGACAAAGATAAAACTGAAGAACTCTTGATATTCACAAAGAAAATCAGAAAAAGTCCAATAAAAACTACCAGGAGATCGTGACATCGGAACAGAACTCAATTGCATTTATAATGGGCTGCTGGATCTCAGGATTCATGGCAGTGATAAAGGTAATCACAGGATCTATGATGTCTGAAGAAGAAACATGGCATGCTGACGAAAACCATCTTCATAATAGTGCATCATGAGGAAGGAAAAACCTTAGGACAATTTAAAGTAGAGGACAGAAATGGTGTCTTCATAATTGTTATAAGTACAGACAAATTATACTTCCAAGGCAGAAGAAAAGATGACTTTTAAAATCTTGTCTTCTTGTTAGGGGTCATGTTATATATAGATGCATGGGCTGTTCCTGAGTTCCACAGTTCTGCTGTGATCAGTTATTCTGTAATAGTCTCTGTTGCAAAGAGAAATTTCTTTGCTAGGTGGCAAGAACTACATGTATCTGTGGGTACAAGGAATAATAATATATTATAATATCAAAAAACCCTTTTCTATCTAAAAACATTTAATAAATCTTTATCATTTAAAAAACTGGCAAGTATAAAACTGTGCCCAATGGGAAGTACAGCCTCAGTGCTCCCGCACTCTCCCTCCCTAGGAGCAAGCCCCACCACCTGTGAGCCACTGTAGAGACTGAGAGCCAGGAGTTTGAGGTTGGCAGATTGCTTGACTGCTACAGCTCCCTCTGTCCCACCTAGGGTTTGTTGCAGATCAGTCTGAGCTCTCTGAGCCTAGTTCTTCCTGTTAGTTCACTTGGCTTTCCCAGTCTCCTTCCTCAGGCAGTGTATTTACTACTGAGAAAGAGCTGAAGGCCTCAGAGTTCTGACTCCTCCACCTCCAGCCTCGGTGGAGACTTCGTTGTTCCCACTCTCTGACATACTCAGGATTTGCCCCAGGGCTTGGACATTTGCTGTCTCTAGGTGAAAGTCTTCTAGAGTGAGTGGGAATCTGCCAAATTCACAGGCTAAAAACTCCCTGGCACCTGCCATGGCTCTAATACGCAAAGGAGGTGTGGTTATAATGTAAAGGCAGCTCCAATGCCGAGAACTGACCCTTGAAGCCTCAAGTCCTCGGCTTACATCGAATACCAGCCAGAACAGCAGAAATGACCATGGAGTCCAGCAGTGACTTAGCGTTCCCCCCACATGTACTTGGAAGATTTAGCAGTATAGGATCCAGAAATAGGCCTGCCAAATTCTCTGTCATTTTGAAATGATTTATATTTTTTTATTTCTTTCCTTTTACTGTATTTTTTGTACTGATCATAAAAGAACAAAAAGCTTCATATAAATTTAATAGTACCACTCTCTCCTATATTATCTGTGTTGAGATCATCTAAAAAGAAAATCAACAAAATTCTGCTTAAGCAACTACAGATCAAATATGCCTAATAGACATCTGCACACCTGAAGTTCGTACTCATTATCTGAAGCCATGGAAATTTCTCTAAGATGGATCATGATTTAGGCTCCAAAACCAAGTTTTAACAAACTCAAAAGAATAAGGCACTTTCTTATATCTCATTAGTTAGAAACGCTGCAGAAGCCACAACCACGTAGAGATGAACAATATTCAATTTTCAATGGTTTAGTGAGTTTTTGAGGAAATCTGGGGGAAATGAAAAATTTTCCATAACTACTGAAAAAGCAAGATGCTTTGAGATAAGGCAGAGGCAGTTATAATAAGTTTATAGATATGAGCGCTTGCCTTAAAAAGATAGATACTATCTTATAATGAAACAGAAACCGCAAAAGTACAAGGAATCTGTCAGGAGAACTGATTCTTCGAAAAGATAAACAAGATTGGCAAACCTTTGACCATATTAACAAAAAGTTACAGAGAGAAATTCTAAATTAATAAAAGAAAAAAGGATATTATAACAGATACCAGTGAGACTCAGAAAACCATATTTAAAAACCTCTATTCCACTAAAGTGGAAAATCTGAAAGCAATAAAAAAATTCTTGATGAATTCAACACACCAAAATTCATCCAAGATGAAATCAATTTTTACTGACTCCAAAACAGGAGTGAGATTGAAGTAGTGATAAAAGTCTTCCAATTTTTAAAAAAAAGTGAAGTGCCACAGGAATTCACTGCAGTTTTACCAGAACTTCACAGAAGGACTATCATTAGCATCACTTAAATTATTACATACAATAGAAAGGAAAGGCTTCCAAATTCTTTATATGAAGTCAGTATTACCCTGATGAATGCACGCATGCGTGCGTGTACACACACACACACACACACACACACACACGAGAAGAAAAAGAAAATTGCAGACTTATCTCTCTGATGAGCATAGATCTAAAAATTTTTAACAAACTATTGGCAAACCAAATCCAAGATCATATACAAAAGATCATTCATCAGAATCAAACTGGTTTCATTCTAGAAATGCAGTACTTAAATCAATAAATGTCATCCATCATATAAATAGACTCAAAGACAAATCACATTATTGGCTCCTTTTATAAAATCCAAAGACTCATAGATGACATTTGGGACTTGAAGTTTAAAAACTTGTGTAGAGTAAAGGAAGTGGCCAGTGGAGTGAAGAGGCAGTCTACAGAGTGGAATAAAAATCTTTGCCAACAAAAACAGTACAGAGGATGAGGGTCCTGCATGTATAAAGAACTAAAAAATCTAAACATAAAAAACAACCCAATTTAAAAAATTAAGCTCTGGAATCAGACAGCGAACAGAAGGTGAAATAACTCAATGATGGAAACTATAAAGC